CCTCTTTGCTAGCATGAGTCAAAAGAGCCAACCCTCATTTCTCTATGATGTTCTGATGCAGAGATATACACTCACCTAAAGGATTATTAGGAACACCTGTTCAATTGACCTCTCGCCGGCCCCTCCCCCAAAACGGCCATTGTCCAATCACACATCATAGCAACCGTTACTATGTGAGCAGGTCCGTCAAACATTGACTCCATCCTCTGATGGCTACTTCCAGCAGGATAATGCACCATGTCACAAAGCTCGAACCATTTCAAATGGGTTTCTTGAACATGACAATGAGTTCACTGTACTAAAATGGCCCCCACCACATCTCAACCCAATAGAGCATCTTTGGGATGTGGTGGAACGGGAGCTTCGTGTCCTGGATGTGCATCCCACAAGTCTCCATCAACTGCAAGATGCTATCCTATCAATATGGGCCAACATTTCTAAAGAATGCTTTAAGCACCTTGTTGAATCAATGCCACGTAGAATTAAGGCAGTTCTGAAGGCGAAAGGGGGTCAAACACAGTATTAGTATGGTGTTCCTAATAATCCTTTAGGTGAGTGTAGGTCTTTCAAAATGGTTGCTAGGGTACTCTGTTTGGTTGCTAGGGAGTGGATAATCATGAAATGCCAAAGGCTGCATTTCAGTGTGAATTATATAAACCAACCCCTATCTCTATATGATGTTCTGATGCAGAGATATAGGTCTTGCAAAATGGTTGCTAGGGTACTCTGTTTGGTTGCTAGGGAGTGGCTTGGAAGCTGCCAATGATGAATCTCCAAAGGCTGCTTGTCAGTGTGAATGATATAAACCAACCCCCAACTCTATACGATGTTCTGATGCAGAGATATAGGTCTTGCAAAATGGTTGCTAGGGTACTCTGTTTGGTTGCTAGGGAGTGGCTAATCATGAAACACCAAAGGCTGCTTGTCAGTATGAATGATATAACCCAACCCCTATCTCTATATGATGTTCTGATGCAGAGATATAGGTCTTGCAAAATGGTTGCTATGGTACTCTGTTTGGTTGCAAGGGAGTGGCTTAACAGCTGCCAATCATGAAACTCCAAAGGCTGCTTGTCAGTGTGAATGATATAAACCAACCCCCATCTCTATACGATGTTCTGATGCAGAGATATAGGTTTTGCAAAATGGTTGCTAGGGTACTCTGTCTGGTTGCTAGAGAGTGGCCAATCATGAGTTGCCTCCATTATATCTTTGCTCTGACCCTTGACTATCGATCTAGAAACTTAATTTCCTCATCTTGATTGCCTACTTACAAAAAAACTAGGGGAAAATGGTCCAACGACTGAGCAAGATAGGCAATTTGGCGGCCATTTTGATATGCAAATTAGAAGGTAAAAAACTCAAAATTTCGCTTGGGTACCATTTTTTTGGGACTCAGCACCCTTGAAATATGTAAAGTAGGCCGGTTCCCGACTTGTACCCATAAATGCTCCTCACTTCTTATAGAAGGCCATTTTTCTGAAATCCGTCTAGTCTAACTGTGCAGGCTGGTGGTGGTGGTGTAATGGTGTGGGGGATGTTTTCTTGGCACACCGTAGGCCCCTTAGTGCCAATTGGGCATCGTTTAAATGCCACGGCCTACCTGAGGATTGTTTCTGACCATGTCCATCCCTTTATGGCCACCATGTACCCATCCTCTGATGGCTACTTCCAGCAGGATAATGCACCATGTCACAAAGCTGGAATCATGTCAAATTGGTTTCTTGAACATGACAATGAGTTCACTGTACTAAAATGGCCCCCACAGTCACCAGATCTCAACCCAATAGAGCATCTTTGGGATGTGGTGGAACGGGAGCTTCGTGCCCTGGATGTGCATCCCACAAATCTCCATCAACTGCAAGATGCTATCCTCAGTGATGGGAATAACGGCGTTATAAATAAACGGCGTTACTAACGGCGTTATCTTTTTCAGTAACGAGTAATCAAACGAATTACTGTTTCCCCCGTTACAATGCAGTTACCGTTACTGACAAAATAATGTGGCGTTACTATAATTGAACTCACTGAAGCGGTTTTCATCCGAGTAGGCTCTCTCTCCGCCATAGGACCTGCAAAGTTTTTTCTCTGGTGTGTGTGTGTGTGTGTTTATGAGGCGCGGGAGTGGACAAAAGCGAAGCGAACGCCGCGAGTGTGCTCAACACTGCAACAATGCTCGAGAGAGACCGAGTGTGTCCGAGAGCGCGCTCAACAGTTGCGCAAGAGAGACAGAGGGTGTCCGAGCATTATATAGTTTGTTTATAAATAAATGACAAATTTCAGCATTAGAATAATCTCTATAGCCTATTGGTATCATCTGCAACGTTTTAATTAATTTACATGGTTATACAAATAAAATCTAAAAAATAACCTGCAGGGAACGTTCTGGGAAGGTTATGAAAATAAAACCTAAAAATAATAGGGAACGTTCTGGCAACGTTCTCTTTAGGTTATAAAATAAAACCCGAAAATAACCTGCAGGGAACATTCCCAAAAAACATGTTTGTTTGACCGGCTGTAAACACGTGCGGCAAACATGCCTAGAATTTGGCTTAAATAACCTCTGATGATGACGTTCTCCGTAGGTTATAAAAATAAACCCCAAAAATATTATGTTTTATTATTATAATAATTTTTTGGGTAAATTAAATTGTGCAGTATTATATTGAGAGAGCACTTCTTGTTAAACAGTTTACTTTTGTGAGGAAGAAAATACTTAGGCTACAGTATGTCTACTAGTATGTCTACTAGTAACACAATAGTTACTTTCTCTGGTAATTAGTTACTTTTATAAGGATATAACTCAGTTACTAACTCAGTTACTATTTGTGAGAAGTAACTAGTAACTATAACTAATTACTTTTTTTAAGTAACAACACTGGCTATCCTATCAATATGGGCCAACATTTCTAAAGAATGCTTTCAGCACCTTGTTGAATCAATGCCACATAGAATTAAGGCAGTTCTGAAGGCGAAAGGGGGTCAAACACAGTATTAGTATGGTGTTCCTAATAATCCTTTAGGTAAGTGTGTGTGTATATATATATATATATTTTTTTTTTTGTACAATACATTTTTTTATTTTACAGTTTTAACACTGTTGAATAGAAAATATAGAATATACTGTATTCTATATTGTATTCTATATTGTATATATTGTTGTATAGAATATGTATAGAAAATGCAGACTAATTCAGACACGCACATACACACATACGCTTTTGAATGATGATTAATTTTTGCCAGTTTTGATCCTTTGACCTTGTGCCACACACACAAACACACAAACTCACCAAAGCTGTAGTAACTCATAAAACTTGGTCTTTTGAAGTATTTTCAATTTTATTACAGGCAGGAAATGATTGTTCTGCAGTAAAAATTAATTAGTCCCATCAGGACTTTCCTCCTGCTGTTATGATTTGATAGATAAGACACAATTTTGTCATACACTGGTGGCTTACGTGGATAACTGGATTTATTTAAAACAAAATTAATTTATGTTTTCCATTACACATTTGTCTGAATCATTGCCATTAATATGCTAAATATTTAATGTCATGTGAGCAAATCAGCAGAAAAATTGCAGAAACTTACTGGAAGTCTCTGACCTCAGTATCTGTATTAGCAGATGTGTTGTGGTCCAGGCCTCTTTTGCTGGTCAATTATTCAGTCATATTGGAGTGTGTGTATGTGCATGGTTGGTGTACCTGCGTGTGTGTGTTTATGCGTGCGTGCGCGTGTGTGTGCGCACGTGCCATCCCTTAAGAAAATTCTGGTGGATGCTTCACTAAAACTTCAGTAAACAGAATTTACCATAAAATATTTACTTTTCCAGCAAACATAGATAGCAGGCGCTCCCGTGTGAGGCAGGCCTGATAGGACGCCAACTAAATAATATCTCTCTGAAATACTGGCTGGCTGGCTGGTTTATTCAGACTAAAACATGGAACACAGTCAAGGAAACTGACAGACTGTCTGGGTACCACTTCCAGTTTCAGTCAAGTTATAAACAACATTACCTTAACAGAGCATGACCTGCTCATCTCATCACGTCAATCAAGCGACAGCATGTAATACTGAGGCACTAATGCGTTGTTCTAATGAAGATTTATCTAAGTTTAAAGAACCATTTGATTGACAATATGAAGTAAGAAATGAACAATCAATTCAAATACTGTATGGTTCTAAAATGGGAAGGATTTCAAAACTCAAGGTGGGGTAACACTTTACATCAAAAGAATGTTAGAGGATAACCACCGAATTGAAATGTTGTCCGAATCTTTGGAAAGAACAGGCATTGGATTCCAGTATCTTAAAATCATATATCATACACCAGTCTCTATGGATGGCAGAAAAAAATTATATATATAATACTTTTATACTTTAATACTTTTTTGATCAAATAAATGCAGCCTATAGGTGAGCATAAAGCTGAGAACACACTACATGACTGCCAGGCCGATTATGAATGTAATTTGATTGTTACGATTGATCATGATCAAACCGACCGGGTCTTTTCCAGTTGACCTCAGTCAGTGTATACAGTCGGTGTTTAACTTTTTCCCTGCCAGCTTATTTTGCATTATTGTTCGTTTTTCTGTTGCTTTGTACACTGCTTGTATTTTGTTTGTTTCTCTTTATAAAATCATACAACCCAATAAAATATGAATAACAGCATGCCCTGGAATATTGTTGCAAGACTTTTGCATAAGAATTTTCTAGGGAACACAGAAAACGTGGATGTAACTTGCATCTGCTGCTTGCAAGTTGCATAAGTGAACACAGTTTAGCCTTACACATCTATTTAATCCTCCCGATAGGACGGAATAGTGAAAAATACACTCCTGATCAAAGTGACTTCAACAATAAATCGAAAACATCCTCTGGGTAACTGATGATGTCATGATTTTTTTGCTCATTGATAACTAATCACTTAAGAGCCACGCAGAAGTTTTATCAAATGTGTGATTACAATGTTGCGATATGTTTTTCTTTTGCAGTTCCTGCCAGGATTGTAAACATATCCACAGATGTTTCAGTGAACGAGGGCAGTAATGTAAGCCTTGTGTGTCTGGCCATCGGAAGACCTGAACCCACCATTTTGTGGAAATTCCGTTCTTCAAAAGGTAATGTTTGACTTTAAATTAACTCGTAAAGACTAATCCTGCTTATTTTATTTGCAGAAGTCTTTCTTCATGTTGCAGTGCTGTTTATAGAAAATATAGCATTGGTAATCATCTTGGCAATTATATTTCTTAAAGGGATAGCTGACCTCTACATGGACTTTAATTTCAACTCAAATTATTATTCAAAATTTCTCCTTTTGTGATCCACACGGAATAAAGAAAGAAAGACATACAGGTTTGTAATGACATGAAGGTAAAAAAAAGATTCTATATTTAAGATGGTCGTGGACTGAATTCATAGGGCTGAATTATATCTTGTTTCTTGATTACCTAATTTTGGTATGCAAAAGTTTTTATTTTAATATCTCATTTTCTATTCATCAGTAGGTTGCAGCTCCACACATCAACCTTTATACTTTCCTTTCAATTAGATATTTAGAAACATGTAAAATTTTAGTTGAAGAAAGTAAAACTAGGGCAATGTTTTGAAGGGGTTTTGGATCTGGCATCAAATAATGTCAAGCAGTCTCAGCACAGCTGAGTAAATCCCTCACGTTTACTATGTATTCATGTCTTCCTCCACTACCCGACTTCCAGGACACTGGCTGCATTTTAATTCGTCTGTTATAATGGAAACCATAGCTGTACACGTGTCAGGCAAGAAAAGAAAAGATTCAGCCGGCAAAATCACTTTGCAGAGACAGCAATATAAAAGTCTGCGCACGGGGTGTCATTTAATGTCAGCCAGCTTGCAGGAATAAGACGTTATCTGTGTTGACATTTATGTGTAAGGCCTAATGAAAGGAATAAGATGTGAGGGATGTTTCTTTCTCTTTTCTGTCAACTTTTACAGCTGAAGTGAAAAACTTAATATTCATTTTTCTGGATTGTTCAGCGGCTCTGTTGACATAGCTAAATGTTGATCTTCTTCAATCACAGAATCCCAAAGATAAACTGAGATTTGAGAATCTAAATAAATAGAATCTTTTCATTCCACGAATTGCACAATGGCTCATTTGAGATTGAGACAGTTTTCTGCAGCCACTGATCTAGAGTCAGCTTTTTCCATCCAACTTATAGTTAAGGTTAGGATTTGGGTACAAACTGGTCCTAGACCAGCAGTTATACACTCTTAAAAATAAAGGCACTTTATTGCTATTGATGGTTCTATGGAGAACCTTTGGAACCTTTCGACTGCACACAAAGTTTAAAGTGGAAAAGGATTCTTAAGAATAATCAAATGTTTTTCACAATAAGAAAAAAATGGTTCTTTTAAGAACTTTGGGGAACCAAAAATGGTTCTTCATGGTATCACTGTAAAAACCCCTTTATTATGTATGTATTTTAACTTTAGCTGGAAGTAACATTATTCAAGAACCGCTATAACGCCAAAACAATCTGTTACCTTAAATTATATGTTTATCTCTGTAAAGCTGCTTTGAAACAATCCATTGTTAAAAGCGCTATATAAATGAAGATGACTTGACTTGACTATCCAAATGCACCAATCAGAAGTAGCAGGAAGGAGACTGAGAGATGATTTCCCATCTACAGTAAAAGGAAAATGTAATCATCGGGGATTTGAATCCAGACCACCATAAACATTTTATATCACTGATGATTTTTTAACTCATTGTGCAATTTAAATGTTCTGCCTTTTCAATGTAAAACATCTAATGCATATCAAGGTACAGTGAAAATCAATATATGTCATTAAGATTGCAGAGCAGACAATAGTTTGTATTATGTGCATATACCACTCATATTGTGATGGGTCGGCCCAGAGATGTATTCTCAGTGCATCAGTGGAAAGACTAGAACAATCCTAACAGACACATTAGCACTAGAATTATCTCGAGGGTCAGTGCAAAGCAAAACACAATAAATCAGGACTGCGCGCGTTGTATGTGCGTAGCCTGCATATGATAGTATTTTGACCAGCTGAGAACTAAAATGTGTAATGGAGTCAAAACAGGATCAGGAATCCCTTCGTCATACACACAAACGAAGATCTGCTGCGAGGAGACAGTTCTAAAGCCTGAACTGAACTGTGATGGGCAACATCGTGACAATGACGATAAAAAAACGATAATGCTTGAGCATTATGTCCTTTATATATGTCCTTTTTAGGGTCTCATCTTCCTGTTTTTGGTTTGTTTTCATGCTTTGGTCCATGTTGCATTCATATATTATTCGAACCGCACCAGAAGCGGACCGTTTGGAAGCGGACCGAGACCCATCTTTTCAGCGGTCTCGGTCCGCTTGTTTGGTGCGCACCAGGGTTCGGATGACAGCGTTCACACTTATTCAAATAAACCCAGTGGTGGAATTTAACGAAGTACAAATACTTCGTTACTTTACTTAAAGGAGCTGTATGTAAGAAATGTATTTCAATTAATCATACAATGGCCCTGATGTGTCTCTAGACATTAAGAAATCATGTTCATTTCAAATACTTATATCACTGACAACAGGAGTACGGCCACGATATTGTCATTTAAAAAGTGAAGTTGCAGCCCTCAACTGATGTTGATGTTGTCATCTTGTGTTTTGGCCTGAAGCCCCACCCTCCACCTATCTACCAATCACGAAGTCAGTAGTGTTTCGGCATCTGGGTTGCCAGCTCTGCTCTAGTTACCACAGCTGCAGCTCGTCACGTTCCTGCTGGATCCTGCAGCCTATCTGGCAACCTCGAGTCAGGGGGGAGGGGGAGGGGATACACAGCTCTACAGTAATTTGAAAGTGATTGCAGTATCAATTTTGGCCACAATCTTACATACAGCTCCTTTAAGTAAATTTTTCACGTATCTGTACTTTACTTAAGTAGAATCAATAGTGCATACTTTTTACTTTTACTTTGTTACATTTTGCAGCAATTATTATACTTTCTACTCCACTACATTTCTACAACGTTCTGTTACATTTTCCTTAAATTTTCTGATCAGTTTTTCCCCTGCCAAAACGTCATCCTGACCGTCCGTTCATCGCACGTTTCTGTCTCACCAGTGAAGTTTGGTTGCCATAGTAGATATATCAACCCGGTCACACTAAAGGCATGCGTCTCTATAGCATGCAGTGTGTTTATCGTGCAATTTATACGCGAAAATTAGTTTTTACATGCATAGGAAACGCATTGGTAGGTTTGTAAGTGATGTGGGGTGCGTGTGTATTATACGTTTGGTTAGGATTAGTATGGCAAGCCAAGAGGTTCAGAATTACGCCATAAATAAATCGTGTTTACAGCCAAACGCCGTCATATACGGCGTTTTAACATAATATGTGTATTTATATATATACTGTATATATATACCGTATATAGTAAGCTTGATGTGTATATTGCCTAATGGCAAGCTTGTTCAGAAATGGTGACAAAAACTTAAAATATAACTGCTTTTCCATCATATTGAACATCATTATATGAGTATTAGGTTGAATGAGTTAGGATGAACTGTTTTATTAATCATTAGAATATAGACATTAAGAGAATAAATTGTTATGCAAGTACTTTTACTTTTAAGTACATTTAAAATCAGGTACTTTTTACTTAAGTAGGGTTGTCATTGTGGTACTTCTACATTTACTAAAGTAAATATGTCTCTGGTTATTTGTACTTTTACTTAAGTACTGAGATTCAGTACTTCCTCCACCACTGAATAAACCGCACTAACAGAGCAATCGCAGCAGGGTTCGTTTTAATCGAAGCAAACATGCCAAGTGTAAACACACACTTAGATAATTACAATTACTTTGGAGAACCAAAAATGGTTATTCTATGCCTGGCATCGCTGAGAAAACCCTATTTTGGAACCTTTATTTTTAAGAGTGAAAAGCCTTTTGTACATTGGGATCGTTCCATGGATCTTAAAGGTTCTACATGGAACCATGTCAATTTTGACAGAATGAATCATGAATAATTTGATTGATTAATAAATAAAATTGACATTTAGAAGGTCTTTCTCATTTACAGCAGAATAAACAAGAGCTTGGCTACAGCATGAGCACGTGCGCTGTTTTCTGACCAGCTTTGAAAGGCAGAAAAGAATTAATCAGTTTTAATGTCAAATTTGATAAATGTTTTAATTGCATTAAATACACATAATGGTGTAACACTTATTTAACTAATCTCATGAATTAGCATTTAAATAGGAAATGTTGCCATAACACATATTGCATATTTCATCATTTTTTGTGGGCCATTTAATTCTTAGTTTGAACTGATTCCATAACCTGTTATGTTGGCAAGAGAAATTCAACCACTGAAAATTGCTATTGACAAACATTGGCATGAAAAGATGTCAGTACATGAAAGGCAGTTGCATTCTTCAGAGTATGTAATACTTTTTTGGAAACAAATGCATTTAGAAAAGTGCTTATCAAATTGTTTGAAGAATGTCTTTTGAGTGCACTGCACTGACATTGAAGATAACTGATTTTTTTCCTCAACGTGCAGTGGAAAGTTCAAGGCCTTTAATTTGGCATTGTCAAGATTTGATTGGCATGCTGGTAGCACCGCGGTCTGATATTGTGGTGTTCTTGTTGAATGGCAATCATACTGTTATTGCAGTGCATACCATTTGCAGAGGTAGAGCTGTCACGGGCAACAAAGAAAGCATTGTATGAAAAAGTTGGGATGTGAAAATGTCGCTGTTATTTTTCTACTGTGCTTGTGCGATGAGCATACGGATATATCATCACTTAGATGAGTAAACTTGTCTCGTAATACTTTGTAGCAGGGTGTCTAAATGCATGCATGCCATGCATTTGTACAAGAGCAATATTTTTACGGCTTTAATGATAATTGAATTAGACGGATCTGCAGTTACACGATGCAGCAATGAAAATTGTGTTTTCAAGTGGCCAGCTGTTGTAGTTGTTTTCCGGTTCTTCATTTGCAGCATATGGCAGACAGGATTTGTCCCCTACAGATGACATTGCACCATTTGGCACTTTAGAAAATGGATTTGCACTCATCATGCGCAGTTTGCGAGCACCCACAGGCT